GAACTGAATTCAGTCTGTATCATTGCGTATGTGAAATGCTTCGTTATTTTTTGAGAGCTCCACAAAAACTTTTCATATATGAAAATGAAAGTTCATAATAAAAGCGTACAGGCATCGCCCGGTTGTTTGTGAATGTCTTCTGCCTGGCGGCGGGATATGTGGTGGTCCGAGTATTTCGAGCGTTGGCGGATCGACACTGCATACCGTCTTCTGCGCTGGGTGTATGGCCTAAAGAATGACCATCGCTGGTACCCGCAGGCACTAATTATGCATATCGACGAGAACCCGGAATGGCTGGTGGATTGTCAGAAGCTAATTGCTGTTGCCGAATGGATCAAGGATGGAGCAGCATCTAATATTGTTGCCGTGCTGTGTGAAGTAAGCTTCTTATGCGCCACTTCCTCTGCTCCAAATGCCAAAGAGCACCAAATACTTTTCTGGCTTCTGCTTGAGAGGTGTTAAAACTTCGAGAACTTCCTTATGGACGCACATAATTGCAATGAACTTGTATGCATAGGTACTTGTGATGCAGATAACGCAGCGGACAGGCATACAAATTCCAAAATTTTTGAATGCTCATCCAACTGATTCTGTCAAGCGCTTGGATATTCAGGAAAATTTTTTCAGGGGCACACGCAAGATCCAGATACTGGCGAGTATTTGCGATCAGTGGAGGTCGCCGTTCGACAATTAGTTAAACCATTTAATCTTTTAACTGAACTTTGCGAGCGCTGAGAACTATCTGTAGGAAAGAAAACATGCGCCCATCTTACTTCGAAAGAATATTTAAAGTTGTAATCTGACTTGATGACTTTGGCACTCACTTGCTAATTACCATTTCGTTGACTTCAGGTTGGCGAATCGTGTCTGAACGCCCATCACCTGGTTGTGTCCTATGAAAATTTGGGTGAACTGAATGAGACTGCTTCTGCAGTGATACAATGCTCCGGCTTAGGCATCTTGAGACCGAACACGATTATAGTTGATTACCCAAAATGCGGCTCCTGTGCTAATTTGTAAGTTTTAGTTTTACTAGTCATAAAACTGAAGGACTCATTCAGTGTTGATCT